AAGAAAAAAAAAGTAGGGCTGCTCAATCATGGTAAAAATCATAATCACGTTTATTATGTCAATATTGTAATCACGATTATGAGTAGGCCACATGACCAAAACTTTATATGAGTGATTTATTTAAAGATATATTTCAAATATATATTTTCTGTAAATAAGGTTGCTATGACATCTACATTTTAGAGACCAGCGAAATATCACAATTTTCAATACCACAACAGAATTTATTGAAAACAATTAAACTGTCAGTAATAAAAAAAAAGCAACGGACAAATAGAAAAAAAAAAGATACAATGAAGCAAACAGTGCTTTAAACAGTGTGTGGGGAGTCTAAAGTGATCAGTTAATAGCCTACTACAGAAATTGAATAATTGACTGTAAAATAAAACAGCATAGTCTTCACTGTAAGAATTAAACTTAGTTGTTTTGCTTTTAAAGTTACAAAAGTCCTTCTGTCAAGAGCAGTGAGTGATTTTCTCTTTGTCTTTTGTTGTTTGATTAATATTAAAGGTAGGGTAGTCAAATTCAGAAAGGCTAGCTATAGCAGTGGTTCCCAACCCTGGTCCTGGAGGCACCCCAACACTGCATGTTTTGCATGTCTCCTTAATCAAACACACCTGATTCAGATCATCAGCTCATTAGTAGAGACTCCAAGACCTGAAATTGGTGTGTCAGAGAAAGGAGACATGCAAGCATGAACACACACTGGTAGACCAGATGCTAACCAGAGACACAATGAGATGGTGTTGTTGGAGGGTTGAATGCAATGCTGTCAGATTCCATCATATCTCATTCACCACTGAGAAAACTTTACAGTACAAAGTGCATAGTAAAAAATAATAACGCCTTCCATTCTCACTTGGTCTGCAGTAGCGTAATGGAACGTGCTGATGACGTATCATGTCTATGTGAACAGGGTGCACAGAGGTATGCAAATATATAAGTTGACAAGCACGTAGGACTGCGTATCGTAATGTTTGGACAAAATAATCTGATTGGTCGAGCATTTTATTTGTCTACGCCTTCCACAGACTATATAAATACATATAAATCAATTTAGACCACTTAACTTATCGATTGCTATCGGGATGTGAAGAGACTTTCAACCAGCATAACTAAAAATATTTTTGAACCAAATCACCTACCCTGCCTTTAAGCACACAGTCGGCAGCAGTAATATTAGACTGCTGTCACTCTAAGAGTCGCACAAATCCAATTTACTGTTACACACTTACTTTAATTTTCAACTGTTTACGTTCACTGAAGACATAACCAATGAGGGTTTAGGTGAACAATCACCAAGCACCGCATTTTGACACTTTTTTGCATGTATTTGACCATTTAGGCAAACACCCCAAGCTAAAAGTTGACTTTACATGTTCCGTCTCTAAACGCACGCACAGAAATCCTTATGAGGAACAGCGCAATTTCTCTTTTGCGCTTTTATAAACATGAAAAAATCTAATCAACTTCAATAAATCAAGCACGTCTTATTATGCAAAAGTCATGTTACATGATTTTACTGATTTGCACGTGAATTGGGCTTTTATGGAGGACCGAAAGGACACCACTGGAAAGGGGGCGGAATGGGACGCAATAATAATTTTATCTCGATTACTGTATTTTCATAATCGTTGGAGGCCGAAATCCAAACTGTATTTCGATTAATTGCACAGCTCTAAAAGGGAGATGGTTTGCTCAGTACTTGGCCATCAACTTTTATATTTCCTTTCATGTCAGCTTTCTTGGGTTCTAGAAGACAACTTTCATTCATTTTCTCTATTGAGAAAATTATTTTTAATGATAAACTATAGACGTTTAAAGACAGACTGAACATGGGCTCACAGATTGTTAAACGATGGTCTGTGCTTCTGTTTAAGACAGTGTGATTTCAAATTAATTTTTTTTTAATCACTTTTATTTGCTAAACTCCCACAGCACAACTATACAATATAGTGTTTAAGTGAATCAAATGTATTTACATATTTCTAATCAAGAAAAAAAAATAAGACACAACAAATAGCCTCCAAAATATGTTTAACAGAGGGATTAGACCGCACAAAACCAATGAGAAATGAAAACATCAGGAGGCTTACAGATGGCATTTTTGCTAGTATTACGCAACAGTGCACATATGGAATATGGTTGTGTTGTCCCTCTAGAGAGGGTGTCCCACAATCATCATCGCTTCATGGCTCTGGTATTACCCATATGACCTGCGTTATGTCACATGAAATTCATTTACCCTCAGACTAATCACATGATAAACGCAGCTGTGAACGCAAGGAAATTTGTCATTTCCGTCTGACCTGCAGAATATGAAGGACCCAAAAAGGAGCCTAAATGTCATAATATGATGTTAACCGCACATTTAATTTCTAAATAAGTTCATATTTAACCAACGTGTCACTAGATACTTGACTCGACAAATATGCTAACTAGAAGGCCATGTTTCTATACAGCTAAAATTAGAATAGTTACCCACTAAGATGGAAAGTACATGGCCGCATGCTTTTGTTAGCACTTTTCTTTTACTAAGGACAACACATGTTCGATATCTCTCAGGAAATCCAAAAGTACTCCTCTCCTTGGAGTATCTCCAAAGGACGTGCTAACCCTGCAGAGAAGATGGGCCACCTCAGAGGAGCTGTCCTGCTTCCCTGGCTTAAAATATCACGTTTAGTCACGCGCACACGAACACACCGAGACGCAGATGCCTGTATGAATAAAGCCCTATGCACTCAGCTGATTGGTGTTTGCATGTTGGAGAGGACTGTGATGGCACCTCCAACATAATTATGAAATTGCTATACTTGATTTGCGATAATCCTGAGACAAGAGCCCAACAAATGGCTACCACTGCCAAATGACTCTTTTCGCACACCAAATAAACATCAACACGTTCAAAACTGCTAAACCAATTATTTAAAGCTCATAATATAGAGGATAGTGCAAAGACAAAGTCTACACTGGAAGCGTACAATGCACATCACATCATAAACATCAACTATAAATCATATTTTACAAAGTTATGCTAATACAGTACAATACTTAAAATATTATGTATGTATCTGTTATTTTAGTGTCATTGAGATGCTATTAAAGTTTGTATTAATATTCTAATATCAGTTTTTATACTATAAATTATTTTATTTTCTGTTTTCATTTTAATTTCAAAGTTTTAGTAATTTTGTTCTATGTTTAAGTATACACACGTCTATATACTTATTTATTTTTTACTTCAGTTTTAGTTACTTTAGTACATAAAGTAAAAAAAAATTAAATAACTTTTTATGGTTTTGATTTTAGTTTTAGTTTTAGTTTTAATTTACTATAATAAGCCTGTCTCAGTAAACATTATCGGGAAATTTACACATGGTCATTTTATTAATTTATCTATTTATTTCATTTTTTTTTATTTAATTGAATATTTTATTTTGCTTTTTGTTTTATTTTATGCAATACCAGCATCAGGGATTATTTTCATGGCAAGATCAGGGTAAAAACGGTTTACAAATTAGCTAGATAAGCAAATCAATTATTAATTATATTTAAATAATACGACAAACATTATAAATAATTTATCAGTAGATGAATTCTGTCTGAGATTGTTTAGGTGCACCTAAAAATTACAAATTCTAGTAGTTTTCCTGTTGTTAGTTCCTAAATATTCTTTAGATAACAAATGGATTTATTGTCCAAAGACGTTAAAACAGCAAAGCTTCAGGTTTTTGCTACGTGATCACAAACAGACCAGATGTAAATGCCCTTTAAGACATATTTGAGATGGATAGCAAATCGCATGCAAATGTATTGTGCTTTTCCAATCGGATACAATCAAACTGAAGTGACCAAGTGTAAACAACAAACAACAACAGACAACATCCAAAAGCCAAAACGCTAATAAATAACAATTATCTCATTATAAAAACCCAACAGTGCAAAAATGTATGTGTCATTTTGAAATCATCAGGTCTTTCTCCCATTTTGACATTCAATGTAAATTCAATTAACGTTTATTTGCATAGCGTTTTTCACGATACAAATCGTTGCAAAGCAGCTTCACAGAAAATTTTAATTTCTACATTATATTTAGGAGTAGCTTATCAGCAGTGGTGTATAAAGTTCCTAAAAGCCATACTCAAGTAAAAGTACAGATATCTTGCCTGAAAATTACTTTGGTAGAAGTTGAAGTCATCGTTTAGAATATTACTTGAGTAAAAGTCTTAAAGTATGTGATATTTATTGTACATAAGTACGAAAAGTATTTTTTTAATCTTAAATGTACTTAAGTATTGAAAGTAAAAGTACAAGTAAATGCAAAATGGAAAAGTGCCACACCACTGATTCGTCAAACCTGCTTTCCTGCAGTCCGTGTTCTTCTGACTTCTGTTCTGACTATTTTGTACTAAGTAACGAATATGCTTCGGGAAATATATCAGAGTAAAAGTATACATTTTAATTAGGAAATGTAGTGGAGTAAATGTAAAAGTTGGCTGAAATATAAAAACTCAAGTAAAGTACAGATACTCCCAAAATATACTTAAGTACTGTAACGAAGTATTATTACTTCGTTACATTACACCACTGCTTATCAGTAGTGACTATGTCAAGGTGATGTCCATATGGCAGATATGTTACTTAGTTAAGGACGTGTATTCAAACAAACGTTGAACACTATTAACAGCAATGATTATATGTTGCGATTAAACTTATAGAAAAATATGGTAGTTTTGTATGTTGGTTCAAGGTTGGCATCATCTGAGGTCCTCCTATGAATACTGGCATGATGCAGAGATGTGAAACTAGCATAAAGGATAGGTTTAAAACATTTATGGACTGATAAAATAACATTTAATGCACAATTAAGGCTTATATCCGCTTATGGTGTTAGATATGAAATTCAACCCTGCAGGCTGTCCATCCGCCAGTTAACCACAGCAAAAAAATCAATAAAGGCTTGAGAATATAAAGAAAGAACAAAAACACATTTAACTTACAGCTCGAAAAGTTGGAGATTCTGAAAGAGTTGCCATGAGAGAGTTGTCAGAGGGTTCCCGGACAAGTTTCTGCAGAGGAGAAAAAGAGAGAGAGAGGGAGAGTTTAATGATTTAACACTGACTATTTGCGACAAGGTGATAAAGAAAACACAGGGGAGGCAAACTACGGCAATGTGGCGACCGGCCCAAAGTTAAGGGAATAAGTGCAGCGGTACGGTACCTTGCAGCCTCGCCAATCCAATAAACAGAGACTTGGTCATTTTCAAGACAACAAATTAAATCGAGGAGAAGGAGGCCTGGAGCCTTAAAAGCCACTAAACTCAATACAATGCTAAATGACTGTGAAGCAGATAAGGCATGTTTTCAGAACAGAGCTTTTAGATTTGGGAGGCCTAGATGGAAGCATTACTCCAAAATAGAAGTGAGGATCTCTAAATGATGTTTGTGTCAAGTCCAGTAACTAATACAGTGGGATGAAAGGTATTACGTGTACAAACTCGTTCAAGTTTTCACAGAAGGTCTTCTTAAGGGTTGGAGTTAAACTAAAAGTAAACACCTTTTCAGTACTTACAGTACATGCACAAATACACATGGCCTTGTGGGACGGCAGCAAGCAATGCCTCTCCTGGGGCTGAAACAAAAACCCTGGAGCCTCACTAACAGGCCTTCATTATCAATATTTATTGAATACTTCAGATCACTTAATACCCCAACACTGGCCCGCTCAAATCCTATCAGGAGCAGTTGACAGATAATCAATGCGCCCAGATGCATCCTTTCGCCCCAGTGCCGCCCAGGGGACTGAAGCCTGCTGGCTGGCCGTCCCTGACCCGTTCCTTCACCTGCATTTTATTACTGACAGCAAAACAAAAGATCATTACAGCTAACCAGAACAACTGTACAGAGAACAATAGAAGCCGAGCCCTATCAGCCTACATGCAGATCTGGGCCTGTATAACGTGAGATAACCAAGTTCAATTTATGACACAAGTAAAGTCAACATGAAATCAAAAATAATGATTTTTACTTATGTTATTGTGCACAATTTTAGTATTTTACACTGTAAAAGTAAATAAATAAATAATATTTCAAAATTACTGTTTTAATGTATTTTTATCAAATACATGCAGCCTTGGTGAGTCTTCTTTCAAAAATCATACAAAATTAAAATTAAAACGTTTGAGCATATATATTTATAAAAATAAGCCAAGTAAATGTTTCATTAAATACCGTTTTATTCAAAAATAAATCTAATTATGAAAGTAAAAGGGTTTGTAAATACTGTTACTAAATAAATAAATACATTTTCTACATTTTAACTACATTATTTTTCTCCCTAAAGTTAATTTATAACATACAGTTTTTGGCACCTACGCTCTTAAAAATAAAATGTACCAGCAGACAAAAATAAGAACCAAAAAGAGTTTTCAAAACAACACAACGCCATAGAATAACGATTTTTGTTTGCCCGCGAATAAAGAATCTAAGAATAGTTTCCACTAAAACTGAACATGTGTACTTGGAATGGTTCCACTTATTATTGTAAAGTTTCTTCAT